GTTCTATGTTTAAGTATAAGGATCCAATACACTGTAGGAGAGTCTACAAAGAAAACATCATTGAAACAATAAAGCCAAGGCCAGCATGTAGCTCTATGGGAGTGATATACAGAAAGTATTACTAAGTGGAATGTGAAGGATAAGGCCACTTTCTTTCATCTCCAGGCTCCAAATCATGGCTGATAATCACACAAATTGGTAAAAAGTAGAATGGGAGAATAATTCTGGTCCCAAAGCAAGCCATATCTAAGAGCATGGACTTAACTGTTGAGAGAGCAGGGATTAATAGCAATGAACTAGTAGGTAAGATCACATTTCTAACATTGTACACTCAGGATATGTAATGTGTATGTTCATCTATCTTTATGAATTCTTGAGTTAAAAATCTGGGCTACAGCTTAGATTTCACACTCACAAAAATGTTTCACGTTTAAAAGTTGATACTCCTGGATAAATAAAACCTAAGAATGTAAAGGAGGCTGAGAAGATAAATTTGCAGCCAGTCTGGGCAGAAGAGTGTTTGAGACACTATCTATAATTAACCAGCCAAAAGCTGGATGGGAAGCATGGCTCAAGTAATGGAATCCAAGTCATGAACAAGATTGCTGAATAAAAGCTTGAGGCTCTTGCATGCATATATACAAACACACATACACACAGAGGCATTTGTATGTGCATACACACATACACAAATGAAACAACTCTCAGAATGTATAGAAAAGTTGGAAAACAATAGAAAAGATGTCCTTAGTAAGACTAGAATCAAGTAATAATATTTTAATATTAGAAAGTTCTCAAGTGAACTTCCAAAAAATGTTCAAGAATATTACATAGATAGGGACCAGAGATAGTAAGAAGGTCCAGTAATGATTATTAAAGGGATGAGATCCATGGAGGAATGAAACAGAGACAACTGCAGGTGCATCTGAAAATGTTCATATCCTGTGTCAAATGTTAGAACATCTTTGAAAATAGCACATAAACAGTCTGAGCAGTCAGTCTATGGATATGCCTACTGCTGTACTATGTATATTGCTGCTTAGAAACTATGATATCTCCATAAATACCTGCCAGCTTCTGTTTACCTCTCTCCCTGGGTTTCTGAACTGTAGTTTTGGTGAATTTGTGCTTAGCAGGTTAGAGGCCATGGATTCAATCTCAAACACAACAAAAATATAATATAATATACATATATATAAATTATAAATAAAATTTAAAAAAATACAGGAGATAATTGAATTGGCTTTTATGATATAAGGTTATTGATCCTGAAAATTGAACAATTCTTATCTTGTGTCCAAAATAATGATCAGGTATAGAAATCAGTCCATTAAATGGTCATTAGGAAACAAATCCTGCTCAATCCATTAGGGGAATTCTTTTTGAAAAGTATTTACCCATAAATCTATAGCCAGCAATATTCAATTAAGTTACTAACCTTTGTCTCAAGTAGCAACAAAGGGATTACAACAAATAATTTAAGATAGGGTGAACTAATTCAGCAGCATTCCTCACTAAATACTGTGTTGTAATTGAACTATACAACTTGGGTTGAGGGAAAAGGGAAGGAAAAAACCTAGGAGAAAATGAGGTAGCGGTAATACTTTTCAAAAAATGTACTCAATACCTGACTTATATAATAGTAACATCTCTTACATTACCTTTATAAAAATAATATTAATTTTAAAGGAGAAAGCTCCCAAAGAAGACATTTGAAAAAGGATACCTAATTATTTCCCCATTTATTTACTAGATTTTAGTGGTATCAAAAATAATTTTGTTGGATTTATCAAACCATGGGAACTTCTTTTGTATATAAGCGTCAGAACTAAGTTGAGCAGGATGACTTAGGTCATTGCATGTTGGCAATATAAACCTGAATAGTTCCTTCCACACTAAAAAACAGTGGATAGGTTAAACTCATAAAATGAATGGCTTAGTTGTCCAAATTTTATCTCATAAAGATAAGAATCTTGAGCTATATGTACACAGCAATAATTATAAAGTGAAGACTGGGAAAAAAGAGACAACAGAAGATCATTGGAGAAGTTCAGAATTGCTAGTCTGTCCCTAGATTAACAAAAACAAACAAAACAAAACTATGGCAGAGCAACGTGATACAAGCCTGGAATTCTAGCACTCAGCCTAAGACAGGAGATTAGAGAGTAGAATTACATAGTGATACCTTCTCAGGACCAGGTAGTGTAATTTTCTCTCAATAAAACAAACCAAACAACAAAAAAGAGATAGAGTTGGAAGCTGGGGCCAATTTTGTCATTATGTTTTGAGAAGTTTCCTATTAAAATGCAATTTATATATAATACTAATTTATGTTTTAAATGCTCTATTCATTAGAGAAGATTCATAGAATCAAAATGGCTAATGATTCCCAACTCAAAATTTGAAAAAGTAAGCATCATTCTGCTGGATTAACAAAGAAATGATGAAGGATTACAAAAGCTAAAGTCTGGAGAAGTTTCAAAGGTCATCTAATGCAAAACTTTGTAGACCTTGCTAAATTAGAATTTAGATTTAAAATAAATACTTTGGTTTTGTTTGTAATTACATGTTCTATAGGATACTATGAATTCTTTTTAAGTTGAGGATTTACAAATTCACAAATGATTCTGGCATTCTGTCTGCCTAGAATATTGTTTCAAGAGTGCTAAAATTAGAAGTTAGTTAACAGATTATTCCAACAGTCCATGTATAAAATGATAATATGAATAACCTAGATGATATTAATTTAAAAATTTAGAAGAGAGCAGCTGGGCACCGGTGGCTTACTCCTGTAATCCTAGCTACTTAGCAGGCTGAGATCTGAGGATCTCAGTTCAAAGCCAGTCTGGACAAGAAAGACCGTGAGACTCTTATCTTGAATAAACCTCTCAGAAAACTGGAAGTGGCGCTGTGGCTCAAGTGGTAGAGTGCTTGCCTTGAGCTGAAGAGCTGAGAGGGCAGTGCGCAGGCCCAGAGTTCAAGCCCCATGACCGACAAAAACAAAAAAACAAAAAAATCAGAGAAGAGCAAATTTTTGAGTGTTTGTTGTAACATGGTATGAAGAGAGTTATTGTGCAAAATCTCGGTTCTTCCATATGTAACACAGGAAGAAATTTACTTAATTATATGACAATATATTCTATATACAATGAAATAAATAGTAGACTTACGGTTTGCTTTTATTTTATTTATTTTATTTATTTATTTTTGGTTAGTCCTAGGGTTTGAACTCTGGGCCTGGGTTGTCCCTTAGCCTCTTTGGGCTCAAGGCTAGTGCTCTAACACTTGAACTGCAGTGCCACTTCTGTCTGGCTTTTACTGTGCAGTTTATTGGAGACAAGAGTCTCAGGAACCTTCCTGCCTGGGTGGGCTTTGAGCTGTAATCTTCAGATTTTTGCCTCCTGAATATTTAGGATAGTTTTTTTAAACAAAACAAAACAAAACTATAAATATAAATAATATTTGCAAGTGTCTGATATCAAGAATAGCACTGGAAGAAAAATGATGCAGCAAAGTTTAGTGTAGTGTTCTTTCCACAATAGGAAAGACATCACATTAGAAGAGTTGTATTATTTTTCACAATAGTGATAAGCTAGTTATGATATAAATTAAGGGAATTTTAAGGTGCACCTTGCAAGTTGGAAAATGTTGAGCTGGGACAACTTTATGGTATAAAAGCTTTGGATTTATGGTCATAGAAATAATAGCTTGCTCTGATGAACAAATGCTTACTCTTGAGGAATTTATTATTATGGATGCTTCAGAGTTTTATCTTCTACCAGAATGTGACTACTTTTCTGTTGACTTCTTAATATGTACCACCCAATATGAAACTGCATTCAGAATTACATAACATGCCAATGGGTACTGTTTTGAATCCCTCTGGTATTGAATATTCTTAATTTGAAAGTGAGAAGTTAGTAGTTATAGAAGTTTTGAAAAACATATATAGCCTGTCTTCTTAACAACTTATTTACTTTTAAAAATTATGAGTTTCCATAGAATTAAATTGTTTTGTTTTACTATGAGATAATAATAACACTATCTATTTTTTCAAAATAATAGCAAGCATATTGTGAAAATATTGTATACTTTCATAACATTCAAGTTGATAACCACCTGATAAAGAAGGGGTAATTACTTCAAATTAGATACCAAATATTATTAATAGCTTTAATTAATAGTGCTAATAATAATACACACGAGATAATATTTACTGTATCAATACAATTAATTATATTTTCTGTAGCTCATTTTTTAAATTTAATTTTATTGTCAAGATGATGTACAGAGGGGCTACAGTAACATATGTATGGTAGTGAATATATAACTTGTCAAACTTGTTACCCCCCCTCATTTTTCTCACACTTTCCTCCACCTCAATCCCCCTCACAAATTGTACAGTACATTTCAAACATATTGTCTTGTGATTATCACTATTGCATTGACTCGCCCTTTGTCCTTTGTCTCACCATTTTGTTGTTCCTCTTCCCTTCCCTAATTCAGATAAATGTATATACAGTCCACAGGGTACCAAAATCAAATACAACAAGGGATAAACCATAGGAGGAAAACACAAAAGGAAAAATAAATCATATTGTACAGTAAAAAAAAAACAACAAAGGAAAACCTCTTGTTTCATTTATTGGAGTTCATTTCGCTGAGTATCATCTTCTATGGTCACATATACATAGCTATTGACCCATTCTGCTCATCTGTATCCTAGACATTTACTAATTATTAGAAATGATGGAATCTATATTTCTTTGTGTCTTGCTTATTTCACTTAATATGATTTTTGCCAGTCTTTCCATATCCTTATGAATGAGGAAATGTCATTCTTTCTGATGGAAGCATAGAATTCCACTATGTACAAATGCCACATTTTCTCGATTCATTCATCTACTGAGGGACATCTGGGTTGGTTACAGGAATATACTGTGATTGTAAATCTTGTTATTTCTTGGAGTACCACTGATAGGATTCATATAAAATATACTGTGCCTGTAGACTTGTTAACATTTATATCACCAGTGAAAGGAATTCACCATTATTAGCAGAAAACACCATGAAACCACACTAACAGACCCAGCTAAGTATAAGCCTGAATGATCAGGTTGCCACACAATCCCTCTTACCAGAAATGGTGAGCATTATCCTTTAGGGAGGGGTACCACTGTGTCAGCTCTTACTATCATTTTAACACCATTGGAATCATTGTTCAAGTAGGAGATTTACACTAAGAGTTTAACTGTTGTCCTACTTTACTGATTTACTTTTTTCTCAGATTTCAGATTACAGAGACATTTTAAGAACTTAAAATATCAGAGATATGCAACAAGAATTTACATATTGGCTTTAACTGTTGTTTAAACAGTTTACAGGTTTATGTGTATTTGGGGCCCCCCAAATTGTTAGACACCAGACATTTAAAATAGCATCTGTATATAGCTATTGAGCTACTCTGCCCATCTGCTAAGATTATCCTAGACATCTACTAATTATTGCAAATAAAGGAAATCATGGGGCCTATGCTTCTTTGGGTCTGGTTTACTTCACTTAATATGATTTTTCCCAAGTCTTTCCGTTTCCTTACAAATGAGGTGGTGTCATTATTTCTGATGGAAACATAGAATTCATATATATACACACAATACATACATACATACATACATGCATACATACATACATACATGCATGCATGCATGCATATCATACTTTTTTGATCCATTCATCTACTAAAGGGCATCTAGGTTGGTTCTATGTCTTAGATATGGTGAATAATACTGCAATAAGCATAGTCGTGCTGGTAGCTTTAGTGTGGCCTTCTTTGTGATCTTTTGGGTAAATGCCCTGTGGGGTCACAGGGGAGCTCTATGTGTAGTCCTTTGAGGAACCTCTATTCTGCTTTCCAGAGTGGTTGAACAAGTTTACACTCCCACCAACAGTGCAGTAATGTTCCCTTTTGGCCACATCCCTTTCAGCGTCTGTTGTTATTAGATTTCTTGATTATAACCATTTTAACTGACCATATAATTTGTTAAATAGGGATACAGGTGGACCCATTGCAACAATGAGATGTACAAGTCGTTATGTCAAAACGAACTTTACAACTTTGGTAGGGGGTGGGGAGGAGGGTTGGATGGAGGGTGAGTGGTGGAGGGGATGAGAAGGGGAAACAAAGGAGGAGGCTACAATGCTCGATAAGAAATGTACTCATTATCTTGCCCATGTAATTGTAACCCCTCTGTACAGTATTTTCACAATAAAAAAAAAGATGTTGCTAAGCAAAATGAACTCCAAGACACAAGAGGTTTTTGTTTGTTGTTGTTTTTAATGTTTTAATTCGGGAATTGAAGGGTAACAACAGAATGGTGAGACAAAGAATCAGTGCAACAGGGACATACACAAGACAGTAAGTTGGAAATGACCTGTATAACTTGAGAGTGGGGAGAGTGGGGGAATGGAAAGTAGGAGAAAAATGAGGGAAGGGGTACCAAGCTTGACAAGAAATGTACTTATTACCTTACTATGTAACTGTAACCCCTCTGTACATCATTTTGACAACAAAAAAAATAAAAATAAAATAAAATAGCGTCTGGTACATATTAAATGGACTATAATTTTAGTATTTGGATATTCTGTAGAACATTAGAATTATCTCCACTGTCAAATTTAATTTGATGTATCTACTAAATGGACGTTGCAATTGTGGGAAAGTATAGAGTCCAGTTTGGGACGTTAGGTTTAAAAGTCTGATGGAGCCGGGTGTCAGTGGCACACGCCTGTAATCCTAGCTGCTCAGGAGGCTGAGATCTGAGGATCGTGGTTCAAAGCCAGCTGGGCAGGAAACACCGTGAGACTCTTTATGTCCAATAAACCACCAAAAAACCGGAAGTGGCGCTGCGGTTCAAGCGGTAGAGTGCTCGCCTTGAGCTGAAAAGTGCAGGGACAGCGCCCAAGCCCAGAGTTCAAGCACCAAAACCGACAAAAACAAAACAAAAAAAGTCTGATGGAACCTCAGGTGTAGATACCAAGAATGGAGTTACAGTACAGTGAGGTTCCAGAAATTAAAAAAAAAATGGTGTGGAGATATAAATAGTGTTGTTTAGAAGATGGTATTTCAAAAAAATCTGTGAAATAGAATAACATGCACAGTCTGAGAGGTCCAGGTTCTGACTTGGAAATCTTATCATATATTCATGCTGTAAACTCACCTTCACACCACATTATTTTTTTTCCTTCTTAGGACACCTGCACTGTTGCTCCATTTTCTAAACAAGTTGTGGTTTATTGTTTTCTCTGTGGATAACCTTCTTTCTTTTCCACTGATCTCTGCTCTAGATTTTATGATTTTTTTTCTGCTTACTTGATATTTAATTCATTCTTTTTCAGCTAGTTTCATAAATTGGAATCTTAGATCATTGATTTTTACATCTTTCTTATTTTGGAAAGTAAGGACTCAAAGATATAAATTTTCCTTGGTTTTAATTTAGCATTGTATGATTCCTTATTTTTTTCTTATTATATTGATTTTATTTCGTCTTTTATGTAGCTCTCCTGAAGTTTGCTCTGTACATTTACAACTGATCAAACTTCAAGTAGAAATGTGTCACTTTTGTACATGGTATAAAGATCTTAGAATGGTCAAGTTGCTCTATCCAGTCCTTTGTATCATTGCTATCATTTTCTTTATATTATCAAATGCACACATCACTACTATCAAAAACATAAGCATATGAAACAAAATATGTCATTATGGTTAATGCTACTTTTAAAATTCTTATCTATTATGTAAATTAAAAAGAAGAGAAAATAATTCTTTTAACTAATCTATGGTATTCTTTTTTGTATGTAAATGGAAGTTGCAGGGTTATGCCATATTTTAAAAGAAATTTCTGTAATGAAGCTAAGGAGATGCATTGTTATTTTTGGCATCATAATCAGATGAAATAATGACCTATAAGTCCCTTGCATGTTATATTGACAAAGATAAGCATTGATCAAAGAAAATACTTCAAACTTTCTGATGGATTTTGATAAAGTACTATGGAAAAGGTGTGTGTGGGGGGGGTGGAAATAAACTTTTAAAATTAAAACTCTTACTGGACTAGCATGGACAAACATGTATATTTAGGCAACTGAAATGCTAGCTAAATTCTTTTTTTGTTCTTGTTGTGGTTGGTTGGTGGTGGCCACAAGGCTCAAACTCAGGGCCTAGGCACTGTCCCTGATCTCTTTTGCTCAAGGCTAGTACTTTACCATTTGAACCACAGCACCATTTCTGGTTTGTGAGTGTTTTTTAAGTCTCACAGGGACTTTGAGCCTGGGCTGGCTTTGCAACCTGATCCTCAGATCTCAGCCTCCCGAGTAGCTAAGTTTAAAAATGAGAGCCACCAGGGCCTGGCTTAAATTCTTGAGCTAAGTACATTTTGAATCTCTTGGAACCTACCAAGAATTAGTATCTAAAGACACACAGGTAGTACATTTGATTGATTTGATTGTTTATTTGAATGCTCATTTAGAGTCTCGTGTGATCAATCCACTCTTTTTCTTTATGACTTGTGCTCTACTACTTCAGCAAATAAAAATGCCTACTATATTTTTCTGTTATTTTAAATATCACGATATGCCCGGCGTCAGTGGCTCACGCCTGTAATCCTAGCTACTCAGGAGGCTGAAATCTGGGAATAGTAGGTTGAAAGCCCACCTGGGCAGGAAAGCCCAAGAGACTCTTATCTCCAATTAACTGGATGTGGCACGGTGGCTCAAGTGGAGCAACACTTGCCTTGAGCTGAAGAGCTCAGAAACAGCTCCCAGGCCCAGAGTTCAAGCCCCACAACTGACAATAAACAAACAAATAAATAAATAAATAAAAATTTCATGCATACATTAGCTGTATTAGCCATGCAGAAATATCACGATAGAAATTTTAAAAAGTTGATTTACTTTTTAGCTATTATTTGTTTATGATGAATCCAAGGTCTGTTTCTGAAAAAAAGGTAATCTTGCTTTTTATCTGAAGTTGAATGTAACATCACTTGAGATTTTTCCAACCATGGGCAAGACAAAACATAACCAAAAAGTGAATGTTCTTCACAAATTAAAATTACTAAATTAGATAAGCTTTAAATTAGCTTGACTGATGGATTTGTTTTGGAAATGAAATAGTTTTTTATTTATTTTTTGTCTTTTTGGCAATGGTATACACTGTTCTCAGGACCTAACACTTGGTAGGCAGGCAGGATACCATTTGAGGCAAGATCCCATTCCCTTTTGCTGTCATTATTTTTCATATAGAGTCTTATGACTTTTATTGAGCCTCCTGTATATCTGGGGTCACAAGATTAATCATAACCTACTTGTTAATTAAGTTGAGGCACTGTAAAATTTTGCCTGAGCTTTCTTTGAACTATAACATTCATGATCTCTGCCTCCCAAGTTGTCAGGCTTAAAGAATTAAGTCACTGTGCCCAGGCCTATTTTCTTTTATTTCAACTCTGTTTTGTATGTTCAAATATCACATAATTCATAATCAAAACTTAGAATATATAAAAAATCAAGATATCATAAATCAGTTGACATTTTTCTGGGTTTCTATTATGAATCAAATGTTTTCAAACTTTCTCCAAAGTTACATGTTGAAAATCTAATCTCCAATATGATTATTTGGTAAAAGAGACTACATGATTATAACTGAAATCTAAGAAGCTAAAAGGAGAGGAAAGTTGGAAAAATGCAGTGATAAAATTCAATACATATCCTACAAAATTAAGAAAATTGAGCTGCTAGATTCAGGTGGGAGGAGAATGATGGAAATATTGATCAATATGCCTTGCATTTATGAACTGCTTTGTTGAATAGTAATTCCTTTGTACAATTAAAAAAATATACAAGGGTGGCAGCTGATTCAAAGTGCTGCTTTCTTTGTAGGAAGCGACGGGGAAAGTACTCTTTCACCCTGTATGAGAAAAATTTTTGGTGTTTCATCTAAGACAGTGGAGAAAAGAGAGAGAAATATGGAGAGATAGAGACCAAGAGAGAAACAGAGACTGTGGGAAGACAGAAATAATCAAGAAATCCAGAAGACTTCAGGAAATCCTTATTCCTTCCTCAGTTTTCAGTGGTTTCTATGAGGGTTGCATTGACAATTCTCCTATGTTCTAACCTGTACTAACCTGTAAGTGACTCCTTATCTATTGATAATACTGGAAGGAATAACATTAGTTGAAGTAACTCCCAACCAGTCATTGAAATTACTTCAAACTTTCTGCTGGATTTTGATAAAGTACAGTGGAAAAGGTGGCGGGGGGGGGGGGGGGGGGTTGGAAATAAACTTTTAAAATTAAAACTCTTACTGGGCTAGCATGGGCAAACATGTATAGTTAGGCAACTGAAATGCTAGCTAAATTCTTTTTTTGTTCTTGTTGTGGTTGGTGGTGGTCACAAGGCTTGAACTCAGGGCCTAGGCACTGTCTCTGAGCTCTTTTGCTCAAGGCTAGCACTTTACCATTTGAACCATAGCACCATTTCTGGTTTGTGAGTGGTTTTTAAGTCTCACAGGGACTTTGAGCCTGGGCTGGCTTTGCAACCTGATCCTCAGATCTCAGCCTCTTGAATAGCTAGGTTTAAAAATGAGAGCCACCCGTGCTTTGCTTAAATTCTTGAGCTAAGTACATTTTGAATCTCTTGGAATCCACCTAAAATTAGTATCTAAAGACACACAGGTCGTACATTTGATTGATTTGATTGTTTATTTGAATGCTCATTTAGGGTCCCGTGTGATCAATTCACTCTTTTTCTTCAGGGCTTGTGCTCTACCACTGGAGCCACACCTCTGGTGTGGTATTTGTCTGTTACCTAGAGAAAAAACAAACAAACCAACAAACAAAAACCTCTCATAGAGTTTTCCACTTATGGTGACTTTGAGCGCCAATCCTCAGATCTCAGCCTCTTGTGTAAGTAGAATTCCAAGCATGAATCAACATCACCCTCACTGAGACTACAGTTTATGTTGACAGTTGGGAGTTTGCAGTAATGATTTTTAAATGATATATTATTGAATGTCTATAATGAAATCTTTTGACTAAATAGCAAAGAAAATGACAAGCACCTAGATATCAGTTTCTAACTGATTTAGGAAACAATGAGGACTTTTGGAAGAATTACTTGACTCAAAGTTAAGGGCCAGGTAAATAAAGTAAGAAAATAGAGGAAATGGGGAGGGATAGGGAAGGAGGAAGAAAGGGAGAAAAAAAATGAAGGCAGAAAGGGTGAAAGGAAAGAGAGAATGAAGCCATAATTTTACAATAAAATCTGTGAAAATATTGTATACAATTGTAGAAAAATATGATGTGAATTCCAATAAAAATCTAGGAACATAAAAAGGGTAAAATATAAAATAAATAATCACTCTGGTAAGATTCTGTAGAGATATATTTGATGCTTGATTGTAGTGTGAACTTTACTAAAGTTGTCTGTCACCTATATTGAACATCACTATTGTAATTACATAATAAGAAAATTTGAAACAATACTTTTCTCCTTTTGTTCACTCTGACTTATTTTACTTTGTCACTCAGAATATATTGCTCATTTTACAGATATTTTTAAATAGATCTCACTAAACTCTGAATTCTATAGATTCTAAGAAGATGAGAAAAATATTCATGAAATTATGTATAACTTCTCTTAGTTGTAATTTGCCAAGAGTTAATATATCACAGCGATAAAATGTTACAGCTTTTAGTTCAAGCAAAAACTATAAAAAACAGAAGATATCAGAGTACACGTTATCATACTGTGCATGAAATTGCCTATTTAGAAAGAGAAATAGTAAAGGGATAATTGTTATGATGCTAAAAACTCTGAATAGATATTGCCATATTGTCAGCAAAGCCAAAATTTCCGGTTGGCTTATCAATAAGATTGTAATTTCCTTTGAGCCTACCCTGTATTTCAAATGCTATTTGACTATGTATAATCTTTTCTCTCAATCCAGTACTCTTAAGCTGTAGCTCTCTGGGAGTACTGAGTCTCTATACAGCTAGTCTTAAGGGTTATTGCCCAACCTTTGGTCAGGGGACCTAAGAATACATTGATCATCAGAACAGGAAAGGAAAAAGAGGAAAGAGCTGAAAGTTCTATGTAAGAGTTGATAAAGAAATTGGTCTGGCAAATGGAAAAAAAATCTATCTTATAATAGGGCTAGTAGATACAGAAGAGGCTTAGCTGTATTGAATACACACTTTAGAAATACAGATATCTGCAGTTTCTGTGAGCTGTCCCTACCAAACACTGGCAGATCTAAAAAGGGGGATTCCCCTTAATCTCACAAACCAGAGTAAAATTCGACAGTCATGATACTATATAAACAGTCTTAGGAGAAAACTTCATATATTAATTGGGAAATGGAATATGTAAACACTGAAAGAAAGTTTTAGGTGTTGTGGATTTAATTTGAAAGTTTGTCTTTAGCTAAGGTTCCTCTCTGACTTTTAGGAACTCTACCATGGAATGCACACAACTGATCTTTCATGCTTGAACACAGGTTTTTTGGGGGGGGTTGTTTGTTTGTTTGTTTTCTCTTTTTTTCTGGAAACCCAAGATACTTAATTAGTCATAACTTTGCTCATTTATAAGGTTAACACTAAGGGTTGTATGCTGAGGAGCAATGGTGGAGATACCCAATGACTACCTCAAGCTAGCTGTATACCTATGTAAACATGGGGCATTGTGTTTATTCATTTATAAAAAGGACAAAGGAAATAGGATGTAAATTCCATAAACATAGCTCCACTTTTAAGTGTTAAAAAAAATCTCCAAACTAACCTTCATAAATGAATTAGAAATACTTAACTTTCTTGGGAAGAAAACACCTACAAAATGGTGGGCCCTAGTTTCACAGTACTAAATATGCATGGGTGTTCAAGGTTCCAGCTACTTTTGCTCTATGTTCTGCTTGGAAAAATGAGAAGCTGGCACCTACATCATCACCACAAGGGTGCTAAGCATTGCAGCTTCTTTTCCCTATTCCCAGATGAGTTTTCAATTTTCCACTCTTCTAACTATGAAGAACAAGTACAGGGCAAGATGTAGAGCTGCTTACTGAAGATAAATGGACTTCAGTTCTATCGGCATGTCAAATATTGCCTGCCTATTCACTGGAGTCAGGCTTGTCCAGGAATATATTCAGTGATTTACCAGTATCTGGCCCAGTGCCTGCTATGTACTTCAGGGCAGTCTTTCCTCCTCTTTCCTTCGGTCCTGGCATGTAGTAGGCTCAGCATAGGTCCAGTCCTCAGAGTTACACTATTCTGGCTTTATTGTCTCCCATCATCTTTTCTTTACTCTTGCTGCATGGCACACATCCTCTGAAAGATTGTCGTGACTTTTTGACTTCGATTAATGTGAATCTCCATTTTTGCTAGTTTGTCTGTAAATTTACATTCCTAGGTTCTGTAAATTTACATTCCTAGGTTCTTTTCCCTTCAGTTAATAAAGGGAAATCAATTTAAAGGCTACATACTACAACTTTTTTTTCTGTTCCTTTCTTATTATTTTTTATTTTATTAAAAAATGTTTATTGTGAAAATACCATACAGAGGGGTTACAATTACATGAGCATGATAATGAGTACATTTCTTATCAAGCATTGTTTCCTCCTTTGTTTCCCCTTCCTATCCCTTCCCATCTCCCACCCCCCCTGCCAAAGTTGTAAAGTTTGTTTTTTGACATAACAATTTGTATATCTCATTGTTGCAATGGGTCCACCTGTATCCTTATTTAAACAATTTGTTTTCCCCTGTTCCCTCCACAAATTATACCAACATCAAATACAGTGAAAGCAAGGGTTATACCATGGGGGAGGGACATACAAAGCAACAAAAAAATCATCTTATAAATATTTTAGAAACAATCGCAAGAAAAAAAAACCTTTTGAATCCTTATCTTTGGGTTCATTTTACCTAACATCAACTTATCTGACCTTTTCTGCTTGTCTCAGACATATACTAGTTATTGCAAATGAGGGAAACCATGGGACCTATGTTTCTTTGGGCCTGGCTTACTTCACTTAATATTATTGTTTCCAAGTCTTAACATTTCCTAACAAATGTGGCAATGTCATTTTTCTGATGGAGGTATAGAATTCCATTGTGTATATATACCACATTTTCTTTTTTTTTATTTTTTTTTGGGGGGGGTCCGGTAGTGGGGCCTGAACTCTGGGCCTGGGCCCTGTCCCTCAGCTCTTCAGCTCAAAGCTAAAACTCTACCACTTGAGCCACAGAGCCACTTCCGCCTTTTTTCTTTTTTGTTTATGTGGTGCTGAGGAATCGAACCCAGGGCTCAGGCATGCAAGGCAAGCACTCTACCACTGAGCCACCTTCCCAGCCCCATATACCACATTTTTTTGATCCATTCATCTACTGAGGGTGTCTGGGTTGGTTCCATATCCTTTTTATGTGGTGAGATTTCTAGTAGGGAAAAGTTTTTATATTCAAGTACTAACTCTTATCTACTGCTCTCAGTAGATCTTTGGATTATTGTTTATATTAATTAATAAGCACTAATAATAAGGATCATACTTAGAGTAACAGGAAGCACTTCGATATGTCCAACATGGACAAAAATAATTTACTGGGTGGATATTGTATTATCACAGAAAACCTCAGCAGAAAAATTACAAATAGAAATAGAATTAATTAAGGGCAAAAACAATTCTGTCATTCCTTCTTCTTTCTTATTTCTTCTCCATATTGCACTACTCACTTCCACAGACGCCTCTTTATAGTATAGCTTTGAGTATAGATAGCTACCTCACCTTTGTCTCTCATGGCCTCTTATTTCTTCTGTCAGTTCACACTGAGTATGTGTCAACTCTGAATTCTACTAAGGAAAATGCATTTTTGTTCTGTTCATTTTTGGTTCAATTAATAGTAACTCTAGATTAGCCATCCGCCTTATCAGTTACTATACATGTTATGGTTTGAATCTGGTTTGTCCCTGAAGGACTTCATTTTCATAGTGATGTGGTGTTAAGACTGTGGACACTGGGAAGGTAAGACAGAGGAAAAAGGCTTTTAGGTACATTGGAAGCCTGCTCACAAAAGGTATGACAGTATTCCTCACAAGCCTTAGTTTCTTTTACGTAAACACTCATTACTGCACAAGCATCCAAGATTGCAGAGCCAATGTCAGTTTCATTTTTGCTTTGCACTTCTAAAACAGTGGGCTGAAATCACATCATTTCTTCATATGTATCCTACTTCAGGTAATTTGTCAGTGATGAAAGCTGATAGATGTAGTGTACTGGGAGGTTTCAGAGAAGCACCCTAGGTGCACAAATACCTTTGCAAGTA